AAAAAAATATGAATGATAACGAGGATGGACGAGACAAGGACGAAAAGATTGATATCAAAGCTAAAGAAGAGAATCAGCAAAAAAAATATTGTTGCGTAGTTTGCGAAGCGCGATTTAAAGGTAGCGGAGGTCTTCGTAATCATTATAAGATCGTACATGGAGCGGGACCTATCTTTAAGTGTGACGAATGTGGCAAAGAATTCCCTTTGAAAGAAAGATTGAAACTACACGTTAGAACACATACCGGATTCAAGCCGTATAAATGTCCAGAATGCGACAAAAGTTTTGCCAGAGGAGGACAATTGGTACAGCATCGGCGTACTCACAGTCAAGTGAAACCGTATCGTTGCGGTTTATGTTCTGGCACGTTTACCTGTGCCGCGAATTTGGCATTACACGTAAAACGACACAATGGCCAAAAAGATCATAAATGTGAGATTTGTGGTCGCGCGTTCGTTCGCCGAGACGCGCTCAAAAAACATCTCGAATGCCTTCATAGAGATGTAAAATCTTTTCTCTGCGTGATATGTAACAAAACTTTCAAGGGCCACCTACCTCAACACATGAGAACGCATGCGCGCGATCGGCCACATGGTTGCGCTACGTGCGGTCAAAGATTCGCTCAAAAATCTCAATTGACCGTCCATCAAAGAACACACTCAGGACAAAGACCATTCAGATGTTTGGTTTGTTGGCAGGCGTTTGCACATTCAACGGCTCTTAAACTTCATACAAGAAGACATACCGGTGAAAGGCCGTTTAAATGTGCCGAATGTAACGCCGGTTTCACACAACTACCCCACTGGAAGAAACATATGAAATGCATCCATGGTCGAAATGAGCCGTACGCTTGCAAAAAGTGTAAGAGTTTCTTTAGAATCAAAAACGATTTGGAATGTCACGAGAAAACCTGTCATCCTGAATCTAAAAGTGAACACGACGTTTCGAATAATCGAATGGACTCCATAACGGCAACGATAATACCGACAACATCAGTTTCGATGACCTTACAATCGACAACATCGTCCCTACTCTCCAATGAAATAATCACCGACAAATCTTCCTCCCCTCCCTCCAAATATAAAATAATGTCTGTCGAGAGGATGAGATTGTTGCTCGCTGTACTTCTTAAGAGGATTAGCAAACAAGAAAGATTGGACGAATTAGGGTTTGGAAAACGATTAATCGACGAGGTTCTTTATGATTCTTTGTTATCCGCTGGCAAAGACCCGATCGTGAGTAACGGTCTTTCGGAACTCGAAACTCTCACCAAGAATCTCGAGATATTTCTCAAGTGGACCGTACCCAAAGAACATTGGGAACATTTTCGCAAGTTGAATAAAACACCCGAAGATATCCTGGAAACACTTACCGCTACTTAAATAAAACTCCTAGTTATTTCAATCATTTAATCTTATACGGCTAACGCTACTAAATATTTACCAAAGATTAGAAGATACAGATATACTTTAAACTTCTTGAAAATTATTTCATCCTAAATCGAGGCTTTTTAAATCAAAGACTGCTCCCTCTTTTTACATGGATAATTTTTCTATAACTTTATACGTTTGATGCACCATTCGCGACTACGTGAATAAAAACAATTAGAGATAAACGAGTAAAAAAAGATTTGAACATACGTGCGGAACAAGAATATTCGTTAGCACGTGTGCATCGTCAATCAACATATTATTTAGTAATAATAATCATTCGTATTATATATTATATTATCTACCAAAAGTGTTAATTTATTAAAATTATTTCGATACATATAAATAATTTCGTTTAATATAAAATAAGTATTTGCTAGTCCAAAGTGCAAACGCAATATTCGTAATAACAATCGAATAACTCGTTGATCATTTTGTGCGTGCACCGTTTTACAATTCATTTTGTACTGGGAAAAAATAAAATATGCGATTGACTGATATACATTTTAACAATATTAAAACTTATTATTAGTTATGTTACATATATGTTGTAAAAGTAATAACGAGTTACACGTAAAATGGTAGATAGATTGAACGAATATTTTGTTCCCATCATTTCTATGTGATAAGTTAATTATGCATCGAGTGCCATATTGTTTGTACAAAAAGTTCGTACAAACAATTTAAAAACACATTTAGAGTTTTAAACTTCTACGCAAAGTATAAAGCGACAATATACACTGCGAAATTTTCATTATGAGAGAAAGCGAGAGAACGAGAAAGAACGAATGAGCGAGCGAGCGAGCGAGAGAGAAAGAGAGATATTTACGTGATTTTTATATTATAATATTTTAAGTATACATATGTATATATAATATTTTACGAGTTCGTTCGCTTCATTATATAGATATTTAAGTATATCTTTTATAGATATTTTTAATAACCAACTGGCTACATTCAGGGTGCCATGCGTCATTTATTTCTTGCCTTGTTATTTTATTAATAATTATCTTACTTGTTGTTATTTAAACGAATTTGTTGCTCGCTTTTCGTAATTTCTAAACGAATGTATGATAATGTAATGAATGTTACGATGATAAAATTAAATATTATCTATGATAAACAACTAATCAAAATTAGATTCGTGTGGCAATAGATTAAAAATGCAATTTTTGCATTTGTATTCGTCATAACGAAAAACATATTTTTTTAAAAGAAAACTGAATGAAAACAAAAAAAAAAAAAAAAGAAAAAAGAGGGAAGGAAAAAAGGAAGGGAAAAAAGGTGAAAGAGAAAAAAAATATGTTTGAATATATATGACTATTTCAATACAAGTTTTTAGATGATTTCTTACTTAATTTAAAGAGGCTAAATATCAACTAGGCTATTGTACACGTTGTTTGTTGCAATATATTCTTTTAATTAGATATAAGCATTCTATATTTATACGTACATTGTTGTGTGCAAATTGTTAGACAAGTATAACACACAAGTTGAATGCATAATTTTATTGATTTTTGTTTATTTGTGATATTTTTTTCTTGCCATTTTTTTCATTTTCGTTCTCATTTATTTATTTGCTTTCGAATTATTTTTGAATTTAAACGTTAAATAAATTGATCTCTTTGGATAAAAAAAAGTTCGGAAAAGTTCTAAAAATTTTGGAGATTCTTGTAAAATTCTTCGTATAAAAATCATGTAAAAAAATAAAAATTTTCATTTACATATGAAAAATACGCGTGGTGCTACATGAAATTCTGTTGTGTTCGTGGCTCTGTTAATAAACAGGATCTTTAATATCTAAAAATTTTATTGTCGTCATTTTTTTTCACATTGTATGATTCTCGTTAATATATATTTTTTCGTTTTAATGCATAGATTGTGCAAATTAATACGACGAAATATTTAATAAATATGCCTGTACGCTTAGCAAGTACGACACTTTTTAGGTAGACATAAATAAATGTGAACAGACAATAATAAATCAAAGTTTCAAGTTAATAATTTAGAAAAACGAAAAAAAAATATATATATATATATAAACAATTATAAGATATATTATATTCCGTATATTCCGTAATGCATTAATATATATTTAATAGTGTGTTGTGTAATTTTCAATTCGTTAAAATATGTTTTTAATTATAATAGAACATTTAATGATTCCGATAAAATCTTATTTCGTATGTAATACAAATATTTCAAACATTTTGTAATATCATAGTATTGTTCCGAAATAGGTATATCGTTCAAAATCGATTTATTACTTATAAATCAGATATTATTCTTTATCTCGAATAAAAGAGCGGAGAAAAGTTTAAGATATTGACAAATCATAAAGACCGATCAGCAATAATATTATTCTTTAGAAAAGAATAGAATGATATGTCATCTCACTCTGGCGCTAAACAATTCCTAACATACAGATACAAAAATTTATAGGAATCCGTGTTTTTACGGATTTCTCATTCGTTTTCGGATTTTCTACTATAAACAAAGAAATGAGACAATATGCTTTTTTCGGAACAATATTGTACATACACACACATACACACGTATCATTCTAATATCATAATTACTTGTTTCATAAGAAAAAGTTGTTTTCGTTAAAGTCAAATTTATTTTAAACGATGAAACGAGCTGATAAAAAAAAAGTAAAAAAATGTAATAATTCTCTGATGAATGATGATCGAAATATTCCTTAGGAAGAAAAAAAATTTCAAGAAATCATCCGTTATACCTTTTATAAGAATTCAAGCAATTCTATGTTAAGTATGGTTGGTGTGAAATATAATGACAGGGACGATTATGTCAGTGTCTCTTTGAAATTTATTCAAAGATCAAAATCTACTTTTTTGTCTGCTGTAGAAATGCAAATAAAGGTCGTAGAGACCTCTGAATATAGATCGAGGTCAAAAGAATGCCCGCATGTTTATAGATACATATGTAGAATTCAAGTAAAGATTTCTGTGTTTCAACAATGGTGCTGTTTTGTTAAATGCTTGAATTTCTTTATTCAATACGTTCCACGAAAAATGCCAAAGTGATTATTTTGATTTGCCAATGTTACGTGATAATCGATTATCTGTATTGTTATTATTTTTACTGTTATTAGTTTTATTACGATTACGATTAAATTGAAATTAAAATTTTCATTATATTTTTTTTTTTATGTTAATGTGTTCAGATATAGATTTCATTTTATAATTATTCTTTCTCTGTTATAGTGCCATAAACTATATATTGTTTGTAAAGTGTATCCTATTTTATTGTATAATAATACAATTATTCGAATAAAATTAAAAAAATTTTCTTTTTTCTTTATTCAAGAAAATATTTATTTTAACAAGAATAAAAAATATATTTACATATTAGATTAATACCATAAAAAATAATATATATATATATCTATAAAAAAATATAAAAACAACAATCTTATACATATGATACAAACATATAAATATATATTTTACACAATATTATTATTATTTATTATTGTTATCATCTAATTCAAAATCATCATATTTCCAAGAAAGCGAAAAATTTTCTCTCAAATCCACTCGTAAATTATTTATATTTAAGCACTGAAAAATTAATATTTTTAGGTTTAGATAAAAAAAAAAAAAGAAATTAAAAATAAAAAATAAGTATTATTCGATATTCTTATTTAATTTGAATACGACCTTTCTTCCTTTTTTTTTATCACTTTAAATACTGAAACTTACATTTTCCTTCTTGATATATTCGAATCGTATTTCGCGATCATTTAAAGAAACTTTGGAAATATTAGATGTTATTCCCCATATTTGTATTTTATCTAAAATAATTTTCTCATTGAAATAACTTTTCGTTGCTTTGGAATTGGATAAAGTGTTATTCTCAATATTGAAAAATGTCCATACAAATTGTCTCTTCTCGAACGAATCTACGAATTTTTGTATACGTTGAAAGAAAATTATTAGAATTATTACAACTAATTATTACATTGTTATAATGCATACCTAAACTATCACCATCATCCCAATATAATTCTCCTTTTGCCTTTTTTACATTATCCAACGTAATCAATAATTCAAAATTATTTCTTCTGCTAGCCGTTGTAGTATCGGCTGCTTTTTGTGCTGGCAAAATAGATCCTCCGCGAATCATCAATGGTATGACATCGAGTGGTGCATTCAATGTATAATATTTGCCCAGTGCGAAAAGAGAATCTTTTGTATAAAAATTATACCATAATCCACGTGGTAAATAAGCAATTACTTCTGTCTTGTTCTATAACAGAGAATATATGATGTCTTGATCATCAATAATGTAACAGCCAAATCATTTTTTTTTTGTATAATATATAAATAAATCAAATATCATTTAACAAAATTTTAAATAAATATTAGCTTACTTCTTCTAAAACTGGGATTATCATCAAAGAATTGCCCCACAGATATTGAGCATCGATATCATATGTAATCGAATCGTTAGGAAATCTGAACAAAAAATACTAATATTACAAACATTTTCATTTAGCAATCATTTAGTATCGTATATGATTTATATTTACTCGAAAAATAATGGTCTCGCTACAGTTTCTCCAAATTTATGTGCCCGAAAAAATAACGTATATAAATACGGTAACAACCAATAACGTATCGTAAGAGCACGTTTGGATGATTTTATTACTAAATCGCCCATAGCAACTGGATCTTGTTCCTGATATGGACAAAATATATCACACACTAGAAATATTGTAACGAAAAAATAATTCAATTATATTCATTCATTATACAATTATGAATATTCATAAATACGAACAATCGTATCATCTGAATTATGATTACGAGAAAAAGGATAAAATGCACCAAGTTGCATCCAACGATTGCATAAACTTGTTGTAGTATTTCCATTGAATCCACAAATATCAGCACCAACCATTGGTATTTGATAAAAGTTCATTAACAAAATTGCTGGAATGCTCATTCTTAAATCATGCCTAACGATTAATTTATTACATGAAGTACGAATAATATTTATCAAATATGTATTTATAAATAAAATGCTTCATATATGAATTACCACGAGGAATAAACGTCTCCTGTCCAATGACCAGCATAGTAACCATGTCCCACCCAGGTTGAACGTGATATTATAAATGGTCTTTTTCGTCTAATATTGGTTAATGCACTATATACATAATCTTTTGTAATTACATTCTTCTTTTTAATTTTCAAATTTCCTTTATGCTTATGAATCTACTTACTAATTAGTTGCTATCGCTTGACTTGTGCCATAAATATTGTGAAGATCGTAATGAGAGCCCAAATAATGTTTAGCATTCATGCACAATGTTTTCGTTGATAGAATATTGCCAATAACACGCGGTATATATTTAGGATAATCCAATTTATTTTGTGAACATCCATATTTATGTCCATTATAAAAATTAGAAGGTTCGTTCATATCCTAGCAATAATAGAAAATAATACATAAAAATATTAAAAAAAACATTATTTTTTTTTACCATCAAAAGATAAAAAACATACTATCCAAGCACCATCATATGCAAAATTATTGTGCATATCGTTCATCATATGAAAATAATAATTTTGCGCTTTGGGATTTGTAAAATCAGGCCACACAGTAGAGACTAGATTCCAAACTTTGCCAACAAATGGTTGATCAGCTTTTTCATCTTTTATAAATATATCTTCTTTCAAACCTTCATCGTACGGCAAATAAGTTCCGTTCTTTTCAGAACCAGATACTCCTGCATCGATCAACGGAATATAATGCATTCCTCTCTACAAAATGTAAAACGTATATTATACATTATATATACATATTTTTTAGCAATCTATACAATTGTAAATCATACTGAATGTATTTCATTAACAAATTGTGGTAAATCCTTAAACCTGTCTGAATTATACGTAAAATCGTTATTCTTATCCATGTAATCTAAATCGTTCCATTGAGTATCCTAAAAGTGATAAAAATCGATCAAAATGGTTAAACTTACCTTATTTGCCTTATATACATTTATTATTATTATTAAATCTAAATTGATAAATATATAAAAGACATTACAAATGGAATTCCTGCTGCTATAGTTCTATTCCATACTTCTTTTGTCTTTTCTAAACTTCCATATCCGTATCTATCATATAATTATACAAATATTATGTATAAATATTTTATCACATATATACAAATAAGAAATATAAATTCATATTTTTTGCAATAAGATGAAATTTATACCTGCATAAATGAAAACCAAGGGACCAATAAGGGGGCAAAAATGGTTTACCTACTATCTCAGAATATTGTTTTATGACATCTGTTGGAGTTGGACCCAAAAAAAAATATATATCAAAAATACCGCCAATAGTTCGAAAGGTAATAGCAGGTGATGGTTGTAATATCACATCTAAAAATATCGAACACTATAATATACTAGATTCGATACGTATTGAAAAAAAAAAATTTCAATTTTGAACATCATTACCCATAGCATTACTATTAAGAAATAGAACTCCATGAGAATTTCCCGAATTTTCAATTATTAAATAAAAAGGATGCGATCCATATAAATTTGCCTAAATTTAAAGTTTATCTTTACAATTTTATATATATATATATATACATATATTAAAAAAAGATAAATAGAAATAATATATAATTTGAAACAATTTTTTCAATTTACATTCAACCTACATTTTCGATCGGTGGTTGATCTTTATTAAATAATGTAAAAGATTGCCAATTAGTATTTAATTTCAATTTTGTTTCATGTTCCCCAATACCATAAATATTATGACTTGGCAAAAGAGCACTTATTTGCAAAAATTGGTCAGCAAATATAAAACCTCCGATATTAATAGAATCAAATCTGAAACAAATATGAAGAAAATACCCTTATAATACAGGTAATATAATAATATATTTGTAAACAAAATTTTCGGATATCTTTTGACCGATTTTAAATACTAAAATAAACAATACAAATAAACTTTTATATAATAAAAGTTGATATGCAAAAATATTGATTGAAATTTTTGATTATTAAAATATTGAATTATTCAAATTTAGTTATTATTATTTATTAAATTTTAGACTAAATGAAGTGATATAAAGATAAAGAGAAATAGTCTCAAAGGACCGAATTCAATTCAATTCCTTATTTATAAAAATCATTTAACAAAAATTTTTAAAGGCGAGATATTTAAATTCACTTATTTTAGTATTTACAATTGATTATTCGGAACTTTTATATAAAATAATATTTAAAAATATATGTATATATATATATATATATTTTCTTTTTTTAACAATATATATATATATATATATATATTGTTAAAAAAAGAAAATTTTTTAATATTTTTTTATTACATAAATATAAAATTTATACAATTTATTACCTGTACTTAAAATTCAAATTTTCTAAATAACAAATTAAATGAATTTCATATTCAATAATGTTAATAATAAACTTAATAAATAAATCTTAACCAATATATTTGCATATTAATTCTTATGTTTGTTTGTTTTAATTTCAAATCGATCCTACAAAGATCACCTGTATATAATATATAATATATTAATTACTCTGTATATAGTATGTTTTAGCATAATTACTATAACATTAAAATTTGCAAAAATTTCAAAATTAAAAATTTAAATATCGTTGAAATGTTTGAAACTCACATTATTGTATCATCTGAAGTTCTGTATACTTTAAAACCAGGTTTAATGTTATCAACATTTAACTTGTATTTTGCATAACTATTTTTTTGAATAAATGGTTTAGAATTCGATCTGAGAGGCCATGGTGGTTCATAACGTTTCTTAAAAGTATCATATATTTTTATACGTAAAATAGAATTATCTATAGTGCTCGTTTCTACCTTAACAAGTGGTATATCATTTTCATAGAACGATCTTTTCATTTGTTTGAGAAATCCAGAAAAATTATTTCCATCTAAAGTATAATTTTCATATTTATATATGCTCCAATTGCTCGGATAATAACAATATGGGACATTTAGAGAGGCTTCTTTTATGGTTGGAATTTGTTTTTCGAAAGAATTCCAACAACAACCTCTACTCGCACAAGATAATTCCGATGCTCCATCTTCGGGGTGACAATCAAAACGTAATGTAACTGGAATATTGTTGCATTGTTCCTAATAGATAAAAGTTTTTTCAATAAATGAAGATCAACATAAAAATATTACAGATATACATATCCAATCATTATGATTAACTTACTTGTACAATTTTAGAAAACTGAGATATTTTATTATCAAATATCATATCATGTTTGAAATTTGTATTTTTAGATAATATTGTAGAAACATTGATCGATTTATAATTCATATTCCCTTTTTGTAAAGTTTCATTAATAATTATATTTATTTCATATTTCTTTAAAGTAATGCATCCACTTTGTTTTATAGAAACTATTATAAAACCAAATAGAATAAGAAATACGATCAATTTCAGAAAATAATATGTCGATATATATCTACGATATCTATTTAAAACCATATTTCTTCTTAGAAATTGTTGCATATCTTTTACATCCATTTATCCATTAATTTAATAAATTCAAAGATTCTGTAAAAAAATATTATTATATATATAATATATAATATTCACTAAATAACTCGAGTATCTTGATTTTCTTTTTAATTAAATAATTTATATTTAATAAACTTAATTAATATATTATAAAATAATTATTAATCAAATAACAACAAATATATAATAAGAAAGATTTTCTTGACAGTTAATTAAATATATATGAATAAAATATTATAAAATAATAATTAATAATAAAAATAAAATCTATTATAAAATAATATAACCTCAAATAAATATAACCAAATGTAAAATCTTTAATTTTGTCATTGGCATATATATTTATTATTATTAATACAATAAATATTATAATAATATTTAAAAATAATAGTTTTAATTATTAAATTTATCATTGTATTATTAATAAATATTTAAATTACCAACCATCAAGAAAATTCCAATTATCACTTTGTTTTATTTTTAACAAGATTGATCTTTTTAAAATAGAAATTAAAAATCTTTCTATCTATCTTGTTATTGTATTTTCTTTATTCATTTTTGAATGCAGATATTTCAACATTAAACAATAAATTTTAAAATCTGAATAATTTCATTATTATCATAATCAATGGCATACACGTAACGAAGCGAAACTTGATATCGAAAAACTTTTTACTCGTTATATATATAAGTTTAACAAAAGCCAGAACTATAAAATAATATATATAATAATATACATATATACATTTATTTTATACTTTATATAATCGTGAATAATTTTTTACAAATTATATTATGTTACAATTATATTATAATATTGCGAATAATTTCTTCGAATTTTTTTTATATATACATTATGCACATAATTATTATTTATTTAATAATAATAGAATTAAAATATCGAATAATTAAATAATACATTGGATTTTATAAAAGAGGATGAATTTTTTACATTATATAAGTAATTAATCAATGATAAAAAAAATATCTTATCAATTTTCATACGCCTTCAACTCAACGACAATCATTTAATATATATATATTTCTTATTGTTAATGTATTGTTTATTTATATAGAAATATAATAATTGTAAATTATTATATTAATTGACGATACGATTGATGCACATCTTAACGTGTAATTTTTGCTTTCAACTGCTTTCAATATATTCTATTTTTGCCAGCTATATAAATTTATATTATGTACAATATATACAGTATTACAATATTAAGTGTATTATATTCTATTTATTCTATTTATATTCAAATTTATCACTATAAAATTTTAAACATACAATTAAATAGATAATATGTAAATATTACACATCCATTTAAAAGCAAAACTATTGCGAGAATATTTTTCGCAAATAATTATTCGTTCTACCGTCCAAAAGTAAGAACTTTAATTATTTTAAATTATTTTTAAACGAATACACAACAATGATTATCGATTAACTGCAGCTAGTTTTATAATTCAAAATAGTTTTACAATTATCGCGCGATAGTTGATTGACAAAAGATAAAAGATAAACAAATTTGAATGAAATCGACAATGAGAAAAATAAAAAAAAAATAAATTTTCACTGAACATAATTTCAAAAATTCTAGGATAATAAATTTAAGATAGTAATTTCGGTGAATTTTCTATCTTCTAGAGAGTAAACATTTCGAAAGTTTTTAAATGTTTTAAAGTTTTAAAACGCACAATTCGATTTAATACTTTCGACAGTAATCGCAAAAAGAAATTCTCAAATGAATACGTATCTTATCACATATATTTATATAAAATGTATGAATAATGAAAAATGAAAGAATCAAACATGTTTATTAAATTTATAAAATACATAAAATTTCTGTTTTCAAAAATGTTAGATAAGAAAAAAGAAAAAGAAAATGTTTTAAATTTTTTACATATTTTAATTTTCTTCTAGAATTTTGTCTTGCTAACCGACTTAACCGATCATCGTTATTTCCATCATTTGTTGAAATTTATGAAGAATATTTTCATAAAACAATTCAGATATTATGCAAAAAATCATAAGAAAAAATTAAATCTTTTAAACCGTTAAAAGAAATGAAATGACTTAAAAAAATAGTATACTTGCACAAGTATTAACATAAACAAGTTTCCGAAGAAGAATCTGATTTATATAAAAAGAAAACTACATACAATTTCAAACATTAATTAATTAGATTAAGTTTTGACCAATTTACAAAGCATCTTGATGTACATTTTTTTCTAATATAAAGATCGTATTATTATTATTCTTCAAGTAATATCAATTTCACAATCACTTTTCATTTTCTCACATTGTTTGATTATTTCTGAAATGAAAAATAAATATTCAAAATACAATTCAATACGATAAAAACAAAATTTTTAAATATATAAAGAAACTTACTTTGAACAATTGTCTGTAATGTAAAAATAGTTGGCGATTGTGGAAATTCTGTTAGAAAATTTTTACCCTCATCACAACATCTAGTTAAAAGCGGATCTAATGGTAGAGAACCTAAAAATTCTATATTCAATTCTTTAGCCATTGCATAGCCACCACCTGTTAATGCTGGGAATATTTCCTCAGAATTCTATGTAAAAAAAAAAAAAAAAAGAAAAAAAAAAGAAATTTATATATAATATAAATTTTGCATTCAAATAATAAGATTTAATAAATGATGTTTATTTTTATATATTATATATTATTATATATTATTATTAATACTTGCCTTACACTTAGGGCATACAAAAATATTCATATTTTCAATAACACCTAATATTGGTATATTCGCTTTTCTACAAAAATCAATTTCTTTCCTCACATCTAATAAAGCAACCTGTTGTGGAGTTGTTACTATTATTGCTCCTGTAATCCCAACATTTTTAAGATATAAAGTTGCCGATAAATGCTCATCCGATGTACCAGGAGGAGTATCCAAAATAAGATAATCTAATGTCCCCCAATCTACTTCTGATAAAAATTGTCTAATCATTCCTATAATAATAAATAAATATATAAATATATAAATTATATACATAAACAAAATTGTTTTATTATTAAATACCATTTTTTTTGGGTCCTCTCCATATCACCGCATCACTTGGATTCGCAAGTAAAAATCCAATAGACATTAATGATAAGTTGTCTTCTATGTACTAAAAGAAATAATAAAAATCATTTATAATATATATCAGTCAAATATAATAATAAAAACTCATTTAAATCAATTTATATTTATACAAGCTCACCACTGGAGACCATCCTGATCCACTTTGATGAACTTGTTCTCCTATTACACCTAACACTCTTGGTTGCGATGGTCCACAAATATCAATATCTAATATCGCAACCTATGAAATTTATTTATATCTTTTCATTTTAATTCATTTTTCAGTTTAATTAATAAATTATAAAATCAAATTCTAAATATTACAAAATATTTTTTTTATTTATAATTATTTATAATTAAAAATGTATAATATATCAAAAGATTAATATAATCAATTAGAAACTAGATACAATATAATAAAAATAAATAGAATTACAAGTAAATATAATAGATATACTCTTTAAACTATATATACATATATATATATATATATATATAGTACAAATTGTAAGCGATTGGTAGATATCACTATGTTGATATAGATATAGAAAACAATATGGATGTTCTTGCTACAAGAAGAAAGGTAAGCATTTAAAAATTTTTAATATAATATCAATACCATAAAAAAAACTTATCGAGGGTAATATAATTGATAAAATAATTAAAATATTTATATCACATGTCAAAAAACTACATACATTTATATCAGGATTATTTAATGCCAAAAATCTGGATATCAATGATGTTATAGTACTTTTACCAACACCACCTTTACCAGATAATACCAATAGTTTATTTTTAACTGTAGAAAGTCTTTCTTTAATTAGATCTATATTAGAATCTGGTTGTCTGGTAATACCAGATGCACATATCGTTTTATTTGGGCAACCAGCACATATAGATGATTTTCCTGCATCATTACTTTCAGTACCAGGACAATCTATAAAAATATTACATTTGTCATTCTATAATAAATAAAGATTACTCGATATATTATATTAATGTTTAAACATTAAATGTTAATATTGTAATCAGTTTCTGAAAAAAATGAATAATAATTAATTCATTAAGTAATTATATTTAAAAATTAAATATACATTAATTATACAAAATGTACATATATCATATTTAATATTTTAAACAATTTTATAATATATTAAACAAATATTGAAATAAGGAAGGTATATATATATATATATATATATATATAATATAACCTTATACATGTACAATAAACAACATTAAATCAAATATTTTTAATTTAAAAACGATTTTTTATACATTTAAATTAATTATTACATATAATAATAAAATTATTAAATTATACAAATTATATTCGATATTTTATAAATCGATATTTTTTTGTTGCATACATACTTACGTTGTTGTATATCACTAGGTATATCTGCCATGTTGAATAATGATTCGCGATCGATGTCTACTTCATCAAATAACCGATAAGAAGATAATTTTTAAAAAATACCTTAATATATTTTTCTATTATTAATAAAATATAAATAAAACAATAATAATAGTATAAATAAACAATAGCAATTCATTGAATTTTCATGAAAGATTTGCATAAATAAAGTTTTTGGACATTATTCAATTTTATATTATCCATATAATAATTATTTATATAAAATTCAATTATAAATTTAATATATTTTTTGTTATTTTTTTATTATTTTGTGTTTGTTTAACTTTAAATAAGATTTATAATTTCTTTCTTATTTTTTACTATTGCATTACCATTTTTATCTTTTTTTACGTTAAACAATATTTTCTTATTTAAAATAAATGATTTTTTCTTTTTATTTTTTTCGAATAAAATTTTATTTCAATAAAATTTTTAGCAATTACAATCATGGAGTACATTTAATTTACCAATCTCTTACATCGAACCAATAACTTTGCGCAATTTAAGTAATTACGCCAACAAACATAATTCGCCATGGTACTCCAAGGAATATAATAATATTGAAATTATACCATTGTAAGTTTGCAATATTTCGCTTATCCTTCATTTTAGAAAAAAAATATTTCTTATTTTATAAGAAAAAAAAGTCACGAATAATTAATTAATATTTTTTCTAGAACAAAATCAACATCCAATTATACATTAGACATTCCAAATACAATCAGTTCATCAAGATTTCCTGATTTAAAAACGAAATATGAACAACGAGGTTCAAAAACAATTCTACATACGCGATATACACCCGACGAATGGTATCAGAAACAAATAAAATATTATAACGATGCAAATTCATGCAGATATTTTTCAGAAAGAACAAGAAACGAAGCTTTACAGATTATTAGGTAAATATATAATATTACAAATTAAATTATTTCGATATATTTATATAATTTGTATAACAATAATAAATATTTACAATAGAGATGCCGAAGAAAAAATACAATCTGGACAATATGATACCGATAGAAGACTCGGTGAAAGAATAAACGACATAAATTTTTGGCGAAATGAAATAGCATCAGAATTAGAAAGATTAGTTCAAGAAATAGAAAGATTAAACGATTGTAATTCTGTTTTAAATAAAGCCATTAAAGATATCGAGAATCCATTGCGCATCGCAGAAGAATGTCTCTATTACAGAGAAGCTAGGAAAGGTAATACAAATGAATGTAATAATTAACAAATGACATTATTAACAATATCATTGATGATTATTTTTAAAAATATGTTGTAAAATGGTATTAATATCATAAATATTTTGTCGCATAGATACAGAGCTTGTGCACGATGATTCAGAGAAATGTTTAGCGAAAGAGATAGAAATTTTGAATCAAAATAGGACGAAATTGGAGATTTGCTTGGATAAGTGCAAGAATCAGGTAATACGCAATCAAAAAATTAAATTTCAAAATTATAAAATTATAATATATGAAAAATTTATATATATTATTATACCTTTATTTATACTCTTGTAGTTGCAAGATTGCAGGTTCTGTCAATGTCAATTAGAATTAAATTTAAAATGTAAAGAAAATGCCTTACAAATAGATACAATGTGTCATCAATTGAACAATCATAGTTCCGGACTGCAATATTATATCGGAATTGAAAAATATAACTCATGGTATATAAACTTTTGTAAACATATTCAACTCACGTTGGTAAATTATTTTACTAACGTAAAATAACGTAAACGTTAAATTTATTTATTTATTAGCCTTACCGAACAAAATACATGGATACACGATGCTAATCAGATAATCGAAAAGTCCCAGACCGAAAGAAATAAATCATGTCAATTAAGGACGAATGCAGAAGCTCTTATGATTAAAATTACACAAGAAATGTGGGATGCATGGAGTAATACGAACAATGCTTTAACGCATAGATCTTCCGAATTATTCGAAGCCAAAAATAAACTTCAACAACATTTACAAATGGTAAAAATATTTAACATATTCGACATATCAAAATAACAATTTAATCTATCTTTTTTTACAGGTTCAACAAGAAATCTTCAATGTTGAAAAAAGTTTAGAATTGATGCATAAAGCTATCGCAGATAAGAGTCACGTATCAAAAGTAGCATATACCAGATTACAAACTAGAACGCACCGTCCGGATATCGAACATTGTCGTGATTACGCGCACATGAGGTAAATTTATTTAAAATTTCTTTATTCTTGTAAATTAAGATAAAAGAGAAAAATTTTCCAACAATTACAATAATGTAAATATCGTGTTAACAGTCTCCAAAAAGAAATCGACGAAATAAATCATCAAATGGAAAGAATGTACAGTAAATTGAAAGAATTAGAGAATCAACATCAAAACTTATTAAAAGCACAAACAACATTGGAACACGATCTTGCATTGAAAATTGACGCGATACACATCGATCAAGAAAAGGTTTCAAGTCTTAGACGCGCTTACCCGATTAATATTCTCTTTAAGTTTTAAATTTTAACGTTTACTTATTAAAACTATTATTACATTATATCATCATATCCTATCGTATAGTTCTTTTTAGAAAATAAAGATAAAATAATATTTTACATCACATTCATGAACAAGATATTAAATATCAAATAAATATTCGTTGAAATACTAACACATCTTTTATTATAATTTTTATCATTTTTTCATAAAATTTGGCATAGGTAATTTTATCCCATCTTTGGCTTCAAAGAACGTGTAAGAAAGTACAATTTCTTTTACATCCTCCATTTTAGGATCATTAACGAATTCTGGATCAATATAAAAAAACACTGGCATATCGACCTAACAGACGATATAATAAAATGACATTATCTCTATATATATGTACAATTATCTTTAAATAAATTTAATCGATTCGACTAATTTAAAAAGCTTTATTAAACTTACCTCTTCATGCGGATTAAGTCGTTGTTCCTCAAAACAAAAACACTGAATTTTATTAAAATATTGCGCAGCTTCGTACGGAACTACATTATAAGTAGATATACCAGTAATCGGTACATCCAACGGATTTTGCGCTCTATAAAATGCTAAAGCAGTTTCTCCAGGCATAACTTTTATGAAATTTTGTTGCGGTTTAAAATTCCATTGCATCATAGCTGCTGTATCGGCATTAAATTTTATTTTTATCACTCTATCCTTAAAAGGTTTCATAGATTGTATTTTGGTGTTATCATGATTGACAGATAACGTTCCACCATAATTATACGACTATTAAAAAGATAATTCATTCTCATGTATAATACAGAATATAAAAAATATATAATAATAATAATATAATATAACAATAAAAAAAACAGCAATATTACCTGACAAAATATTCTATATAAAGGCACCGAAGCATAAGTAAAACCCATTACCAAAATACCGAAACCGCTCCAATATAAACGCGAAGAACGTATTCTTTTTTTGTGAGTCGCATCATAATATTGACTAAATAAAATTCTAGATACATCGGTGTGTATTTGCTTTCCATAACAATTCAATATTTTTCGATAGACTTTGATATACATATTACTTTTTCTTTTAACCTAAACTTAACCTAAAAGATTTTAAAAATTCTTAAAAATTTATTATATACGTAAAGAAGATTTAATTAATAGGAAATAATTTGACAACAAAAATTAATCGAAGGACATATTTTGTCGATCTCTTATAACGTCACATTAATTATCTATCGTATCCGATGCAAACTTAAGATCAAGAATTATTCAAAATATCTTACTTTTGCTCGAACAATGCCATCTTTCGGAATATTCCATTACGAATCACGAAATTTGAAACGAATTTAAATCAGACATAGAGATACAGAATACGAAACGATTTTTTTTGTTACGAAAATTTAGAAGTCGTACAAAGTTGGATATATTTTGCAATACACAATAACATATTTATGCCATTTAGCATATTATTTTTCGGAAACTCTAAAATTCTTTTATCGTTTTTTCTAATATTATCAATATCGTTTAGAAGAATATCTTTAGCGAATATCACAATATCTTTAGCGATAAAAATTGAAATTTAATTTTAATAAATTTATCACAAGATATATAAGATATACGGAATACGTTATAATCATAAGGGAAATATACATAATACAGAGCTCTATATTTTTTAAAAATATATTTTATAAATATAAACGAATTTATTACTGTTTATCACTAAATAATACAATAAAACATAATAATAGAAATTTATAATTTATAAACAATAAATCCACGATAAATATCACATAAGTAGGATACATAGTTGAAATTATTTTTATCACATATATCGCGTATAAATTATAAACATCAGCGATACATCACTAATTAATTTTATAACGCGTAACAAAATTTTTTTTTTTTCGGAAAATATATTATTCGAAAGAATACAATTATATCTCTTATTAATTAACACAAACAATATTACAATTTTTAAAAAGATTTTTCAAAATGTTTATAAAATAAACATATATCATATACTGTATTCACGTATATGTAATACGCGTTAGAATTAATCAATTATTTATAATTTCGCGCCAGAAATGCAAACACCGCGATAACTTTACGGCATACAGATTCACGACTATTTTCACGATGTATCAAGATATTTATACGATCAACAATACGAAGTGTCATATTTTTTCTTATTAATATAAATTACGTATATAGAAATTATAAAGAAGAGAAATCGCAAAGAAATATTAGAATGTTGAAAATTTCGTGCAAATTGTAAAAGTGTAAAATTTTGGTTTTACCATTCTTTTCATAAAATTTGTATCACGATAAAATTACAGAGGTTATGTTACCGTACAATTTTATAAAAATAAAACAGTTAAAAAGAAGCGTGAAAATTAAAGTTTATAAGCTGAATAACAATGATAAGACTTGGAACGATGTTCGATAATCGTGAAATTGGAAAACGAATACGACGTTTGATCGATGGGAATTATTCATGTCGCAAAATATTTGTATTACTTATTATATGCAGTGGGATATTTTTATATTTTGGTCCACCTTTCGTACAGTGGATCTTTTCTTCTTCCAGGGAATCGACGCAAGGTAAAACGAAATATTCAATAATTAAAGTTAAAATTTTTATTATTTTTTTTTTTTTTTAAATTTAATATCAACTATAGAACAAGTTGCACGTTCTATTATAACACGTTTACTTCATCAAATAGAGCGATAATTAAACGGAAGGAAAATATTATATTTTAAAAAAAATATATCCTTTAGGACTAGAACTATCAATTTAAATAAGCGAGATAATATCTAAATATCGTATACGCAAACATTCGTAATTGAAACGATACAGCGAAAATAAATAAAAATAAAATATTAATTTTATCAAAAATGTTTTTATATTTTTATACGTAATAATCGTAGAACAAACATCCATGTATCCATCATTTCGATTTAATTCCGAATTAGCGAATACGAAAATATTAATAAAATATTACGAAAATATTAAGACATATTTACAAATATATATAATTAAATTAATATTTTTAACAAAAATTTACATCTATTTATATCTATCGATTAATCCGTGATATATATTTGCTAAATAATGTATGTTGATTTTCATAGCAATCGAAGATCTTTGTATGAACGAAAGATTAGCTACCTTTCGTTTCGATATCGGAGAATATAACGTAAATATTCTTCACAATCCACCAAAAGAAGAGGAACATTATTATTTGCCATATATCGGAAATGGAATTTTTGGAATTCCTATTTTGCCAGAGGCTTTAATATATATAAAACGAGGACGAGCATTATCATTGCCCGTACAATGGCAACCATTAATTTCTCATCCTTTGCTCAAAAGCAGTTTTTATCGAGAAGCTACAGTTACTCATTTTACAAATGGAATCGTTTATCGTTATCAGTGTTTCAGAGAAGGATATTACATGGAGTTTCAATATTATGCTCATAGAATATTCGATGCAATATTGATACAAGATATAAAAATAACTAACCCACTCTCATTTTCTCAAAACGTACCGTTGAAACCACAAGTATCTACTCAATGGAGTAATTATCGTATAGAAACGATCAAGTACTTATCTAATTTTATTTAATTATAAAGGAATACATTATATTATCGGAGAAAGTTATATAAATATTGAAAATTTTATCTTAAAACGAATTTATATCTTCGAGTAAGAGAAGTTTAAATCGAGTAAATAATTTACCGGAATCTTATATCTTTTATCTTTATCTTTACAAGTAGCTCAATTAAAATTAAAAACTAAAAATTAAAAATTCCTACCGAACGCGATTCAATCGATGAGTCGAAATAAAATAAATCATTTTCGTAATAATACGGATAGATAGGAAATAAACGACTTTTTTTTTTTTATATCTCTTAAATACTTTTGTCAATCGTTTATTATTATTAATTAATTATTATTTATAACGATACATAGAACGATCGAACTAATATTTTTAATTATCATTTTATCAATATGTACTATATACTTATATATTATTATTATTATTATTATATTTATCATTATATCGTTACTTAGACTTAATAATATACCGTTTATTTATACGTTTTATTTACGTTTAGAATTCAAGTAGATGATTTTATGGATGAATATAATTTAATTTCGGGATTCGTTCCATTATCCAATACGAATAAAATTGTGACGATATCAATACTTTATAAAACGCCATCAAGAACGTTACAAGTTAAAGCAAGAAGTACTATGAAATTAAAATTCTTGACAAGTATACAATATAGCGAACCTACGCTTATGGAAGAATATCACGTTCAATACGAAATAACAAAAAAAAAGGCCATAGAGGTACATATTCACAATGTTTTAAAAATATTAATCAACGCGTCTTAATTTTGTTACAATTCGTTACAGGCGCTTAAAAAAGCCATCGGTATTCAATATCAAAATTTAAAAGAAGATCATATTAATCGTTGGCAAAGTTATTGGTACACAGGTTTTAGAATAAGCGATTCTAAAGCCGATGGTGCAATAAATGGTTATAAAATAAATTCTACCATATATTACGTATTATCGCAAATTCCAAAAGGAATTCCAGGCGTAGAAAAAAACGTAGCTATGAACGAAGGTTGTTATTGCGGGCATCATACTTTGTGAGTAACAAACGTCTTTTTTTTAAATATCTTCTTTCAGAATGTTCGTTCATTTTATCCTTTCGTTTCAGGGATGCTCCGCGATTATGGAAAGATACATCTTCTATCGATGCTATAAACAACGTAGTCGAAGCTTGGTTAGTAACATTAGAAAAACAAGGATGTCATCATTTAATGATCGGCGATCCTGCAGCAGTGCAACAAGCTATCGTTTTAAGCCTCGGTAGTTTACGTTTCAGTAATCAGCATCTCGAATTTAATATCGATCCACAATATCTTCATCGCGATTATTTATTTAGGTATCGTATTAAAATATTTTTTCCAAAAGTAGTACAAGCATAAAACACGATTAACTTCTTAGCGCACTCGCCCGAGTTAAGTCGGGTTTGAAAAAACGATTTTTTTCCGCGCGCCCGAGTTAACTCGTGAGATCCGCAGTTTTAATTTTCTATATAAATACAACCGAATATACTCGGTATACTTAGATAGTGTTGCGCTTATTTCCTCTTACCCGAAAAAAGTTGCCACCGGTGATTCTCAGCTTTTTCGTTTGCGTTCGCGCATTTTGTATCCACTATTGCCTCGTGATTGTCAGCCGATTCCGCGAACGTCATCTCTTTTTTGTGCAATCACGCATTACTTCAGTATCGCCGTTAGCATCGAGATCGTTTATATTTTTTAAACGCTTATTTTGTTTTTTATTACCGAACATGAAAAGTAATCACGACTCGCTATTTAGTTCAGAAGATGAAGCTTTAGAACACAATGGCAGTGATTCAGAGATCGATACTATATCAGAGAAAGAAAGAAGCGATGATGATACTCTTGCTTTAGCTTGGCAATGGTTTCGAGTACAACAAGATGCTTCTCCACTTCCATCATTCATCTTCACCGAACTTCTTGATATAAAAAATATCGATGTTAGCGATTATAGTTGCCTCAATTCCTTTTTTTTGATCGATTTTTTTGATCGAAACAATCGATTCAACGCATGGCGAATGAGACAAACAGATTCGCAAAAAGTGCGTATCATACGAGGCAGAGAAAAAACTTTTCGATACGACACAAATCGAAATGAAATTAGACTATTTTTGAACATTATATTATTATTATACTTTGTATCGTACTTTTGCAAAGTATAGTAAGAAAACCAAAATACCGTCATTGAAAATCCATTATTATATACATCGTTTTTTGGAGATTGTTACGACTCCAAAACATTTCAAGGCGATAAAATTTCTACATTTTTCAAACAATGATGAAAAAATCATCTTTGCTGAATCGAAAACTCAATAAAATTTGGTCAATTTATGAAGATTTAAATAGAAAATTTGGCGATGCGATTACACCAGAAAAATTTGTGACCATCGACGAAAGTTTATTACCATATAAAGGTCATCCGGGATGGATACAATACATTCCGCTCAAAAGAGCCAGACATAAAAACGTACTTATTATGCGAATCAAAAAGTGATTATGTTTATAATTTTATGATCTATATCGATAAGAATACCGTTCTCGACAGAGAATTTGAAGATCTTCCAATGCCGTCGCAAGCGATGATAACCTTGATGAGACCATTGTCGAATAAAGAATATTGTTCGACGATGGACAATTTTTATAACTCATCTGTATCTATCGATAAAAAATAAGACCAATGTTTATGGAATATCATGCGTATCACGAAAAGAAGTATCCAGCGAACTGAAGAGTAAAAAATTGAAAATTGGAGAAACAATTGCCTTTTAGAGAGGAAAAGTGTGTGTAATGAAATGGGAAGATAAGAAAGATATCTCTCTTATCTCTATCATTCATAGTCCATCAATGGTGGATATAGAAGCCCGCAAAGGAAGAATAAAAAAAACCGCAACTTGTGTTTGATTATAATCACACCATTGATCGACGCGGTGAACACCTGTCTTTCCGTGTTGTACTAGAAAAAGAGGCAAAAAATATTATAAAAAGATTATCTTTCATTTCTTAGATCTGGCAATGTGGAACGCTTTTGTTCTTTACCAAAAATCTAGCGGTGAAATGGATTCATTTGATTTTCGTATCAAAGTAATCGAAAAATATAAAACTAATTATAAAAAATAATTATAAAAAATATAAAACAACATTACAAGAAATGCAAAACACCACTTTAGAGATTATCAGCAAGATATTTTCCATCATTTGTGCCATCAACAGCAAAGAAAGAAAATCGACAGTGTTTCCTCCGCTTAAAAAAGAAGAATGGAAACAAAAAAAGGTTGTTCGCAAACAAACAAGATATACGTGCGCCGAATGTTACATTCCTCTTTGTGTCATTCCATATTTTAAAATTTACCATATCGTCATAAATTTTGATTAAAAGCTTATTTTTCGATATTTTTTTGATTCTTTTTAAGTTTTTTTTTAATTGCCCGAGTTAACTCGGTTAAGTAGGTGCAATTACCTTAGTCTTTTTTACATAAAACTACATTTTTTCATGTTTTTTTTTTTTTTCAAGATTTGTTAACGTTCTTAGATATTTTAAGAAAATAGAGAATAAAAAAATATACGAAAAAACGGCTGCTTTTGAATTTTTAATTGGTGCGTTAAGGGGTTAATAATTACGATGTATTCATAACTTGTATAGAAATTAATATAAAAAATAGCAAATATTATTATCTCATAAATTACAAATTAAACGTAACGTATAATTCTTTTCTTCTCTACGATATAAAAAATTGTTTTAAAAAAATTATTTTTTACGAAAAATAGGTCACGTTGAAATTATTTTTTTTTTCTGTTATTTATCTTTTGTTGTATTTTTAATTGTATCATCTGATCTTCGAATTAACGCTATCGTTAACAAATATGAGAAATTAAAAAAAAAAAGAAAAATAAATTCATGCCAGCAGATAAAATTCGAAATCCGACTTCTATACGGGAACTATAGATGTTATCACAATATCGCAATAATTAATACGATTGAAATCTCGATACGATACGCACAATATGAAACGTAACAAATTTCAAACGCGAATAAGTCGAAAACTTTTGAATATCTACCCCTTGTACGAAGGAAATTTCTAAAGAGGCAGAAAATGCTATATACGCGTATATCTCGTAAGTTTTTATCAAATTCGGGAATTCGAAGTAAAGATCTCTTGTTCGTGGATAGTTTTGTCGGAAAAGAATTTTTAAACTTAGACATCAATTTTTCTCATTATTCATAAAAAAAATTTTAAAATCCTTATAGCGATATCAATTTATTATGAAAAACGTTAAAAATATTTTCCTCCGTATATTTTGTTGTATCATCAAATGATATTTCTTGATAATTTTATATAATAATTAATTAATTATATATAACAATTAATAATTTCCTCGACAATTTATAACGTAATCTATCTTTACATTTTATAATCTTATATTTAAACGAATTTTGTCTTTCAACTTTTTTCAAATATAAAAATATTAATAGAAAAATGGAAAAAGATTTAATATCGTAATTTCGATTTTAAATAAAATGTATTTTTTTATTTTTAGTTTCTTTTTCTTTTTCAATATTAATCGTATTATGTTATCAACTCATTTTTTTTCTTTACTTTTGTTTTAGGAGAATAAGTTACGGCAACGTAACACATTTAAATATATCGGTAACAGTCGGAGAAGATAATCGTGCAATTTTAAAAGTGGCTTTAGACAAGAGCGATAGCGTCTATTTCGGTTGCGATGCTGGCTGTTTGAATCCACCTGTTTCTTTAAGTCAATCATACGCAAGTATTCCAGTGAAATTGACAAAACCATTAACAGCCATATTATATATAACGTCCGATTATCAACATATGCAAGATTTACGAAATGCTTTACACGTTCATGCCATAGACGACGGTTGGTATATATAAACCATCTTCTTTTATCATTTTATCTTTATTCCTTTAAATTCTTTTCCAAATTACACGTTCCTTTATATCTTATCTTAAGAGAATATCTCGTACGAATCCGCAACGAAACCTTATTCATTTTTCTTTTGTTTTTTTAATGAAATCGTTTTCATTTAACCGTGTACGTAGCATTTCGAAACAAAGATATCGATGATGCGATACGATTATTAATCGATTATCGTTCTTTTAACACGTTAATAGGAAAATAAACATAGAAAAATAAACATTACATTATTCAACTTTTTTTTTTATTTATTCAATTTATTTATTTCAATATATTTAAATATATTCAATCGCGCGATTCGTAATAAGAAATAGCTTATTTAATATATCACATCGGGATAATAAAATATTGTTTATAACATACAAATCAAAACTCATAAATTAGACGATGATAAAATATATCGATGTACGATTTTTTTTTTTTGTAGCTCCCGCGCATGATCACGTTGTAATGGCCCTACACAAACACGGACATCAATTAGGAGGATTGCCAACATTTTTTTGGATCAGTATTTGTTTTCTCATAATCGTGTTTCATTTGTTTCTTTGTAAACTTATTATTAATGAATATCACGGTCACCAAGATAAACAGAAAGTACGGTATAGTAAGTTATAATGTTTGTATCGCGCGCGTGTGTGTGCGCGCGTATGTGTGTGTGCGCGCGTATGTGTGTGTGCGCGCGTATGTGTGTGCGAGTACGAATATTAATATTAAAGTAAATTACGTTACATACATTATACGTATAAATTTAATTAATAATGTAAAAACTTATAAAAAGAGAAATATTCTGCTAACTATTTTTAATATCGTATAATTACGTTTCTATCATTCCATAAATTTCTATCATTCCGTAAAATTCCTAATCATTATTTCTGTCATTATTCTCACTATCATTATCGTTACGCCAAAGTAATATACCTATGCCGAATAATACTTAGTTCATTAGCATAACAAAAAGTGATTTTAGCAAGAAGATAAACACGAAACGACTCGATATATTATATCGATATATAAAAATATAAAATTCGTTACGATCGATTTATTCGTCTTTTCAATAAAATTAATTTGCAAAAAAATAACAAATCACGGCAGGAATCTCAGTTACGATATTTATATTATAGGGAATTGTAATATAACGTAATATAAGTAAATACATTTTCAGTAATTAGAAAAAGGGCTTCCTCACTGATTTCAATCGTGATTTTTGGATAAAAGACAAGATTTCGAACAATTTTTTTCTATGTATATAATATATAATATATAATATATACCGCATCTTATAACATTATACATGCCATATATATATATCATACCTATATCGAATCTCGCCTATACGTATCGCGTTCGCATAAGCACGCAATCGTCGCTTATCTCTCGTTAATGTAAACGCATCATGGCGGTTAACACTTAAAATGTACGATGGATAACCTATTACGAATATTTCTTAGAATATATTTGCGAATAATGTGAAAATAAAATATAAAAACTTTGAACGATTGAAATTACAACGAAGTTATAACAATAGATAATAAGAATTTGAAAAATTTATCCTAACCGACAGTTAGGATAAATTCGAAAATATTATTCGACACATTCGCCATTATTCGCCATTTAAAAAGAAACAGTTCGATTGTATCGTTAATTTTTCACAATATGAAAAAAATAGATAACGTAAAAACGAACAAACGTAATCGATCATAATCGATCGCTTTTTAACACGCGTAATCATCTTTATCGAATGTAACAAAATTTTACGAAAATTAATAACCAACGTCGGTCACGAAACACGGTCGTAAAGTTATTTTACACAAAATGATTCGAATTAATAAAAAATATTCGGACATTTAACAAATTTATATTTCTGTAATAATCAACTTTTTTTTTTTACAAAATTTTTAACTCGTTTAATATTTTCTTTTTTCACGATTCAAATAGTTTCAAATAGTTTAACATAGTAAAAATTATCTTTCATCGATAACAGACTCCAAATTTTATTTTTATTTAGACGAATTTATCATTTTTCTTTAATACAGATCTTTTACTTTTGTACTTCCATACTCGATATACCTTTATAATAATGTATATAGATAGGAAAAAAAAAAAAAAAAAAAAAGAAAGATCTACGATCCATTATAACCATTATAAATCGAAGAAAAATACAATTTCAATTTAAGGGAATCAAAATTACTAATTTAAGGGAACTAAAATTACGAATTTTGCATAGTCGCATAAATAATTTTATACGATAAATCGAATCGATCGAATATGTGAAAAATAATAGTATATATAAGAGAAAAATAGTAAATTCGTTTTTAAATTAAAACAAAATATAGAACCTATCAACAAAAAATAATTTTTAATTTTAATATATTAAAATTTAAAACAAAACGCGAATAAAGAAAATATGAAATTAATTTTTTTTTTTTCAAACATCGTTAAACGTCCAAATATTTTTGTTAAGAATTATCGAATATTGAACGCGTAGCGGATAAGCGAATAAGTAAAACAAATTAAGTAAAACAAATTAAGTTTTTAAATTAAGTTTTTCTTTTACCATTATATATTCGATCAACGACGTTTAATAAAAAATAGTTAATAATATATTATCTCGAATTAAATCTCGAATCAACATTTTATTTTATCAGTGTTCGAGGCTAAAAGAAAAGGGAAATTTGAATTTTGGATTTATTTATTTTTTTTAAATTATAAATTTTAAATTATCATTTATAGTTAACATTGTATTATTATTGTTTCAGACCAAAAGAATAAAAAGAAAAAATGTTTCAGACGAAAAGAAAAAAAGAAAAATGATAACGAGATAAATGCAATTGAACGATTTCTTTATTTTTTATTTCTTTTTATCGTTTTTTTTCGATTATCGTATTTTTTTTTCTCTCGAAAGCGTACTTATATTTATTTATATACGTAATTATATAGTAATAATAGCGTTATACAGTTATACACTTATACAGTTATACATTATTCGTTTTTTTTTTTATTTTTCAAATTCATTTAACGCTAATACAATTAAATGATATTTTAATTTTAATTTTTGATATCTTATTTGTATATGCAAAAAATATGATACGTATAATATTTGAAATATAAAAGAAAGAAAGAAAAAAAAAATATTTAAATCGAAAATTAAATAAAAGAAAGGAATCGAACGATTCGAAATTTTTATTTCATTTATCGATTTTAATTATTAGATTCTTTCTTTTTTTTAATCTCTTCATCGATTAAAGGATTATTTTTTTTTTACGTTTCGATTCGTTTCGTTCTTTATTTTATCGTATCCTTGTATTCGATGAATATTTAATTCTCCTTTTCATCGATTTATATATTTTTATATATAATTATATTCTTATTTTATTTATTTATTTAACAATTATTTACATTTCAATATTTTATTTAATATTTTCATCGTATATCGATAAATCGATCTTTATTCGAAGAACGGAAAAGAATACGTCCGTCCCGTTTCGTTTCTGAAAAACGTTTAACCGATACGTGTACAATATCAATCGACGCGATATCATGCCACGATTTATTATTCGCTATAATATTCGTATTATTAATTTTCACTTCACTTTTACATTTTATCAATCGTTATTATATTATTCCGTTATGTTTTGTTATTTTTCGTTTCTTTAAAATTAAATGATTTAATTTTTTTTTATCGATAATATTTTTGATAATTAGTCTTTTCTTAATTTTCTTTTTATTATTATTAATTTATAAGATGCGTAAAAAAAGTTTAACGGTCTTTTTTCGTTCACTTTGTTAATTTTTGTTGTTCACTTGGTCATTTTTTATCGGTATTATTATCGTAAATCTATCTAATCGTTAACATATAGATACGCTTTTTGTTTTCTTTATTTTTTTTTTTTATAAAGATATCATTTAATACATATTCGACGAATTTATCGTTGTTTTTTTTTCTTACTTTTCGTTACGCTTTAATAATTTTAACGATAACAATCAATAATTTTAATTATTATATTATTTTTTCGATCTTTTCGTTCGTATTTATGATATTCGTTTTAATTTTCAGTACAATTTTTTGAACGATATTTTTTTCTTTTTTAATAGAATTTTTACTGGAATAGGCGAAAAAGAAAAAAAAAAAAAAGAAAAATATAGAAGTTAAATTTTTTAGAAGAGACACCGAAAAATAGATTGAATTTGAAATATGAATTAAGCAATGGATAGATCACTGACAAATGACGCGTCAATGGTCCTCGTTTCGATTCTTTTACGAGTTTAATTTTTTTTTTTAATAAAAATGTTTTTTCTAGCGATAGAACGACGGAATACGATTCAGAGGGATAAAAGAAAATAAAAATAAAAAAAAAAACTAACGAAAAATATTCTCGAGTACCTTAAATAGCCGAAAATTAGAAGTTTTCGTCAGAGGGGCTGTGGCTAAGTTGGGACGCTGCTTTTTTCCGCATGCCGAAGAACTCGAGTTCGAGACTCGCGGGTGTTGTGTTGTTCTCGACTGGAGTTTTTTCGCGAGCGACGGGAACAACTTCTTAACTTGCCTCGAGGGAGGAATGACCCTCGGTCGTCTTTCTCCCATCTGGGATGTCACACTCTCCGGTCCCGGGAGGCTTTCACCCGGGCCGGACAGAAATTTTGGAGGAGGCACAGGTGGAGGATAAAAGGGGAACGTGTGGCAATTTCGTTCGTCTCTTACCGGCTTTTGTTGCCGGGTAGAGGGATCGAGACTGTGGCAACTCTTACAGCGAGATATCAGCTTAATGGCGTGGAAAGGTATCGGTATGGGTGTCTAGCGGTAATACAAGAAAAGCATCGGCATGTATCAGTAATTAAAGAAGTAAGCGGAAAATAGAAAGAAGAAAGCTAACATAATAAAAAAAAATAAAAAGAAATATCTTTTTTTTTCAATTAAAGGAAATTAAATAATTTCGAAATGAATAATTTATAGTTTATGCGAGATTAACAGAAATTTAAAATATAATATTTAAGGAAAAAAAGACTAGATTTAAAAAGCGAAGAATTTGAATTATAATTAATAAGGACTTAGAATTAATAATATATTTGGAAAGTTTAAAGAAAGAGAAAGATGAAACGTTGAAGTCATTTATTATCGGAATATTTAAAACGCGGGAGGGGGAAGAAAGAAAAATAGAAATATGAAAATTATTATTTTAGGAACAGATTAATAAAACGAATGGATGAAAAATTGTTATTTAAAAAGGAAATTGGAAGAATAATTTATAAAGATTTCTAAAAGCAAAAAAATCGGTAATCGATATTATTAAGAAATAAAGGAAGGAGAAATTGAATTTAGAAAATAACGATTTTATTTACGATTTAAAAGGACAAAAGAAAAAATTGATTACCGGAATATTAAATCGAAAAGAAAGGGACAATTAAATTTTACAAGTAATTTTTTTGCGAGTAGAACGAAGATGATTGCGCGATCTATTCAGAGGCGGAGGAATTAGCGGGGGAACGTAAAAGCGATAGATAGCATCGACCGTACATTCTCGTTAATTTTATCATTTACCGTTCGAAACATAATTATTAATTCACAAAACGTTTTCTTAGAAAGGATTTTGAAATAAATTTAAACAGAACACGAAAATTATAAATATTGGATGAATTTTAAAAGTTTTTTTTATATCCTTACGCAAGAATTATTTAACTTTTAAATTTTATATGTCTAAAAATTAGAATTTATCGATTCCTAATACGATAATAATAAATGAAAATAAGGAGTTTCGCGCAATCGCATATAATAAACATCCTTTACGCGATAAATGGAATCATCGAACGCGCAGGAAAAAAATACACAATCGAAAAAGAAAATTTGGAATATACAAACGCGTTTCGAAACGCGTTAGAAAAGAAAAAAAAGATTAAACATAATTTAACCGGAATAATATCGGATGTAAATCGAAAATGGAATAAAATAAACGAATCGGGTGTTTGAATTGGGTGTTTGAATTATCGATATTAAATATCGTTTTTTTTTTCCCTTTTTTTCGATTTATTTTTTTTTTATTATTTTATTATTTTATTTTTTATTATTTTATTTATATATTTTTTTATTTTTTTTATTATTATGGTATCATTACATTATTCCGACGAATCGATATTAATATTCGTCCTCGCTTTTTATAAATTAAAATTTATTACTTTATATATCAATATAATATATCTTTACAATTTATTTATTTTACGATTACTACACTCGAATAATCTATCACGTCGTACAGATAAAATTTGTTCCGAGAGCATAAACGTACACGTTTGTCTCGTTCCACGTTCGGAAACCGACAATGTTAGATTTGTAAATATTATTATTATTATTATTATTATTATTATTATTATTATGCTCGTCTTTCTCATTACTATCCAATTTTTCAAAATAATCACAACCACTTACTATCATTAATACTATTAATATCATCACTACCATTACTCCTATCATTAAAATTACTATAATCAATATCATTATTAGTGTTAATAGAATTGTTATCGTTATAGCTATTATTAAAGATTTAAGGATACCTGTGAATTATGATCAGGATCAGGTTCGTTACGGTTAGGTTGAATTAGGTTGCATTAGGTTGGGTGGGTTGGGTTCGATTGAGTTAGGTTAGGTTAGGTTGGGTTCGGTTGGGTTAGGTTAGGTTACGTTAAGTTAGGATAGATTAAGTTACGTCAGGATCAGGTTGGGGTAGATTACGTCAGGACCACGTAGGGGTGGTTTCCGTCAGGATCACGTAAGCGTGGCTTACGTCAAGACCACGTAGGGGTGGGTTACGTCACGATCACGTAGGGGTAGGTACCGTCAGGACCACGTAGGGGTGGAACCGGTCCGGACCACGTAGGAGTGGGTTCCGTCAGGATCA